TATTAGGATCAGTAGAACGTGGGTTGTTTGTTTTTCAATCTTATCTCTTTGTAAGGCTTATATAAAGCCAACAGCTTGTTTTGAATAATATAACATTCNGTAGCGAGAGAGAGATAAAAAAAAAAAGAAGAAGAAGAACAGAGGCGACGAAGAGGCGAGCAAGTATCAATGTCTTTGTTGGGCAGAGAGAGAGAGAAATGGGCTAGCGATGAAGAGCAGAGGCAAGAGGTTTGATTGAGGGGTTAGGGTTTGGGAGACATGGCTATTTATATGGGTGCCCAATAAATGTGTTTTTTTTAGTGCTAACAAGACTCGATTCCTTGACTTCATTAATAACAACTCGTTAAACGTTTTTTGGTTTTTTAAAAACGTCTTTTTTTCGTTTTTAAAAAACGCAAACGATGGCAGAAAAAAAAATTGATCATCAAACGAGTTTTTTTTTCTTATTTTCTTTAAATATTAAAATAAAAACGAAAAACGAAAAACGAGAAATATAAACGTTACCAAACGAGATCTGAGATTTCTGATTTAAAACTTGCAATGTATAACAAAACAGTAAAAAAAGAGTTACACGAAAGAGTTATACAAAACAAGTCTTATATGAAAGAGTAACGGCAAACAATTACACGTAACTGTTTGTCAAATCAAAATAAATACTAACCCGGTTGTAGAATAGGAACTGTTATTGAAATTGATGGAAATCAAGGTTATTGTTTGACACTATATCTTTAAGATAGATTTCGCTCCTACACACGGTGTTTATGGAATATCGAGCGTCTGACTCTCAAAATACAATGATCTTGACACGAGCAGATGTAGCACTCCAATCTACTCGTCCAGCGAACCAAACTTGTGCTATGTATTCTCCCAAATGCAGACTTCTTAATGTCGATAATGCTATACACTAATGTCTGACCTAACTCTGTGTATGACGGATACTAATAATTGTAATGAGTGCAGAATATTAATGAGTCTGGGTATTTATAGACACTTTTGTGACTTTCTGGACAGTCACCAAAATAAAAGACACAACCTAAAATCAGTAAACACCACTTATGTAACTGTTCTGNATGAGTCTGGGTATTTATAGACACTTTTGTGACTTTCTGGACAGTCACCAAAATAAAAGACACAACCTAAAATCAGTAAACACCACTTATGTAACTGTTCTGTATGAAACAGAAACAACTTAATTCGGACTAGAGTGAAGCAACACATCTANCTAGTGGAGGATCTTGTTTCTACTCCGGTGACCTGGTAAAGGAGAACTCTTCACCTTAGCGAGAGAGAGATAAAAAAAAAGAAGAAGAAGAACAGAGGCGACGAAGAGGCGAGCAAGTATCAATGTCTTTGTTGGGCAGAGAGAGAGAGAGAGAGAGAGAGAGAGAAATGGGCTAGCGATGAAGAGCAGAGGCAAGAGGTTTGATTGAGGGGTTAGGGTTTGGGAGACATGGCTATTTATATGAGTGCCCAATAAATGTGTTTTTTTTTTGTGCTAACAAGACTCGATTCCTTGACTTCATTAATAACAACGCGTGTTAAACGTTTTTTGGTTTTTCAAAAACTTCTTTTTTTCGTTTTTAAAAAACGCAAACGATGGCAGAAAAAAAAATGATTATCAAACGAGTTTTTTTTTTCTTATTTTCTTTAAATATCAAAATAAAAACGAAAAACGAAAAACGAGAAATATAAACGTTACCAAACGAGATTTGAGATTTCTGATTTGAAACTTGCAATGTATAACAAAACAGTAAAAAAAGAGTTACACGAAAGAGTTATACAAAACAAGTCTTATATGAAAGAGTAACAGCAAACAATTATACGTAACTGTTTGTCAAATCAAAATAAATACTAACCCGGTTGTAGAACATGAACTGTTATTGAAATTGATGGAAATCAAGGTTATTGTTTGACACTATATCTTTAAGATGGATTTCGCCCCTACACACGGTGTTTATGGAATATCGAGCGTCTGACTCTCAAAATACAATGATCTTGACACGAGCAGATGTAGCACTCCAATCTACTCGTCCAGCGAACCAAACTTGTGCTATGTATTCTCCCAAATGCAGACTTCTTAATGTCGATAATGCTATACACTAATGTCTGACCTAACTCTGTGTATGACGGATACTAATAATTGTAATGAGTGCAGAATATTACTGAGTCTGGGTATTTATAGACACTTTTGTGACTTTCTGGACAGTCACCAAA